GCGCCTGCAACTTTTTTGGGCAGTGCAATGTACCTCAGCACACCTCTGTCGGCAAGGAGTGTTGAGGTGCCATTCAAAATTAATGGCACTGCATTGCACCATTGCAAGTAGCAGTGGCGTCACAAGGGGGGTGCGGCCCGCACCCGGGTGACACCATTGGAGGGGTGACACCAAAATGACCGACAGCCATTTTGGTGTCACTCCCTCTAAAAAGTCGGGCACTCGGTCATGGACCGTGAGCCCGACAGTGTCAGGAGAGAGGAGGGGATTCGGCAGCATACCTCATCCCGTCGGGTGAACGTCCCCTCCTCTCTCTGCCGGCGTCCATCACTAAGATGGCCGCTGGCAGGTGTCACTAAGATGGCTGCGCTTGCACGATGACGTCACGGCGGGTTGTCACCCGGTCTCCGCTCCGGGTGACACCTGGTCTCGAGACGCCCCTGGCAAGAAGCATTGGGAACGCGCACATTCTAGCAAGGCAATAATGCCTAAGAAGTGGTTGAGATGGAGATTAGCTGAGGGCGTGGGGGTGGGGAGGGGGTCCACCATTGTGGCCATATACCCCCGTCTACACTCATTCAGAATGGCTGAAGGCCGTGGTCATTCTGCACCTGCGCTGCCTGGTGCTGCTTTGCTGCAATGGGTCAATGAATCCATTGTTGGAGCGCCAAATACTTGGTACATGGGAACCTGCTTCTTCAAGATGCACCAAATAATAGTTCAATTTGAAGGGTGTGAAAATAAAAATGGGACTAGTAGGGCAATTCTAAAAAACATCCCAAGAGAGACTTTTTGCCCCAAAACTCCCCCCCAAAATTCCAAGTGTGGAAATAAATTGCCTGGCGAGATCCTGCCAGTTCCCAGGTATGGTAGCTAGGGTCCTCCCATCCATTTTAATAACATGCAGCTGTGAGGGAGGGGCTTCTGTGGTAGAAAGCCTGCCTTGTGATTGGGTGGTGCAGATGCTTTGGGTGTGGCATGAAGGATGAGCCAGCTGGTTGGAGGACACGAGAATGCATTTGCTGTGCTAGGCTTGACATTAGGTGCAGATTAAAGGACACCACTTTGATTTGCTCATAAACACTCATTTATGAATGAAGCACGCAATTGCTGTTTGCAGGATTCATTCATACAGGAGCTACTGTCAGTGTTTATGATACACAGTGCAGGAGCCAGCTGTCACACTGACAGACCAACCCTGCAGATTACACCAGGAGAAACGGGTCCACAGCCACCCCACTGCAGCATCCAAGGCATTGGTCCTTCTGGCCTCTGAGTAAGCCCTGCCCTGGTGCCTGTGATTGAGTCTCTTACTGTAAGAGCCACAGAATGATTGGCCATGTTGGGCTGCAGCATGTTGGTATTCTCAAGCTGCGGGAAGCCATAGTCCTTCATTTCTGCTGGCTCCTGGATTGGACAGAAAGGCTCCTGGATTCCATATGAATTAGGCCACCTTTTGATGTACATGTTGTAGTCTTAAAGTGGGAGCTGTGCCCAAAAAAATGCAGGAAGGGGGCAAAGAACGAGTCAACAGTATTGCCGATGGTCTCCCTGCAATGATCTTTTCCCCATTAAGGACTTAACATGCCTTGTTCTGCACCAGGTCTGTGTGGAGGCGGCCATCTTTGCGGAGGCAGGGCATTGCTTCCTCATGTCACAGCCCCCAGCAAGGGGAGCAAGAAGCATTGATCAGTGCAGAAGTGACATGACAATATCTCACTCCACATCTCCTGAGACTAGCTATTAGGGGGAGCAGTGCCTTGCATCTCACACTACCGGTATACAGCTATGAGGCTGCAGGCATAGGAATGCCTAGGCATCCTCATAAGGAGGAATTCCAGACAAAAGGTATAGAAGGTATGCTTATAGAGCTGAGCCGAAGTACAGAAGGACTGATCCAACACCTGCTGATCCAACATCTGGATTGGCTGAGCCGAAGCTGCGGCAGTTCACTCGCTGCCATTCGCCCCTATTCTCATAGGAGCCGAACGGCAGTGAGTGAATAGCCGAAAAGCCGCCGAGAGGCATTTGGCTATTCTTCTCAGTATCTCCAAGGTAGCGAGCAGAATATAAAAAAATGTAAACAAAAGAAAAAAAAAAAGATAAAAAATAATTTTTTAAAATGTAAAAAAAATAAAAACAAATGTAAAAAATTCATAAAAAATGTAAAAAAAAGAGAAAAAACAGAGTGGGGTCCCCCTCCTGATCCATACCAGACCCTTTGGGTCTGGTAAGAATGTTAGGAGGTACCCCTATTTAAAAGGAAGAAAGGTGTGGGGTCCCCCCTAAAAGTCATACCAGGCCCTTTAGGTCTGGTAGGAATTTTAAGGAGGAACCCCATCCCCAAAATGGGGGGGGGGGGGGAGAAACGTCAGTTCCCCCCTAAAATTCCCAACCAGACCCTTAATCTGAGCACAGGCCTGGCAGGGCAGGAAAGCACCTTGTCCCAGTGCCGATGGGGACAAGGGCCTCTTCCCCACAAGCCCTGGTGCGTTGGTTGTGGGGGTCGGTGTGCAGGGCGGCTTATTTGCATCGGGGGTACTCCTTTAGTAAAGGAGCACCCAGATGCGGACCCCCTTGTGAAAGAGTAAGGGGTACTTGCACGCCTACGCATTCACTAAAGTGTTCAATACAAATGTAAATAAAAAGACCAGACTTTTGGAAAAAATCCTTAAATTGAATAAAAAAACAAATAGTTGACAATTCCTTTATTAATAAAAAAAATAATTAATCCGACAACCAAATCCACGGGGCGATCACGATGTCCAGCTTTGTCAACGACGACTCCTCTAAATTAAAAAAAGCCCGCCGACAGAATGAAGATTCTGACAGATGCCGGCAAAATATAAACATCACCACTAGCTCCGCCCAACTGTTTACATTTGGCCGGCACCTGTCAGAATCTTTATTCTGTCGGCAGACGTTCGGGTCGGCTGAGCCGCTCAGCTGCTGTACGGGCTATTGTGAATAGCCTGTACAGCAGCCCTTCGGGTCGGCTGAACGGAAGGATCAGCCGAAACTACAGCTAGATCCTTTCGGCTCCTTCGTGAATAACCCTCTTAGACACACATAACCTTTCTAGATGTCCCCTATGATATACTAACTCTTCCCTTTTTGAGTTCAGGCCCACTTTACGCTCTCCTAATATGGGGTGGTCCAGAGTGTA